CCCCCCCCGCCGCTGCCTGCGGGACAGGAGCGAGTCGGGCGGAGCTTCGTGAGTGGTGCCGCGCCCCGCCAGTGAGGCTGCAGCAATTTGCCAGGGGAAGCGAGGTGCTGAGAGCAGGGCAAAATACCCCCCCCATGCGCATTATAACTGTTCAAAGGCGGGAGGCTTGTGTTCTGACAGGAAACACTGGGAAGGAAAAGCCTAAAACACTTTCCAATGCTGGAAACATGGTGCGAGGCGCAGCTGTGAGAGCTGACTCAGTGCACTGGGCAGAAGATATGAAAAGCGATTACTCAGCACCTTTGTGATGAATAGTTTCCCTGCAGGCACTCGGACCTTCTTCACAAAGATGTGCTGAAACACAGGAGGGGGGGAATATCGGAAACAGAAATACCGTCTCCATTTGCTTTCAAACTACGTTACAAGCAGACATTATAGTCACATACGTTGAACTGGCTTCATCCCTCAGTCACATACTCGCCCACAACTCAAGAACAAAATGCAGGAGAAGAGATAATCAAAAAAGAACCTGCCGGGAAAGCGAAGAAATGTCCCCCGAAAAGGACGCACGGGCCGTATAACAGCCCCGGAACGAGGGCTCGGGAGGGGCCCTTCTCTGCAGGCTTTTCATTGCCCCTTGAGGTGCCCGGTAAAAGGACCTCCCTGTCAGCAGGGATGAAGGTCCGGTCCTTGTCAGGCCAAATACCTTTCGGGAAGAGAGGCTGAGCCCCCCCACCCCCTTTAAGAAGGGTTGAGGTCTCTGTGGCTTTGAGCCCTTTAGGAGGTAGGATTTCAAATGCCCAGAAAGGTTGACCTCTCCCCGTAAGAGGGGCGCAGATCCTTTTGAGGAGAGCGTTTAACGCCCTGGCCCCTTGTAATGCCCCTGGCTCCAGGACCGCCCTGTAAGGAGGGCTTGGGTCCCATGCCACGTGCTTTTTTTTTTGCCACACGCCTGGCAAAACGGCTCCCCTGTAAGCAGGGGTCAAGTCTTATCCCTCTGGTGCTTAGACTGGGGGAGTCCTCTTGTGTCTGCGGCCGCGCCCCGTTTTCAGAAGACTTGAGATTCTCTTTCTCTTTGCCAGAGGCAATTCCCCCAGAAGCTTTTCTGCTTGGCTTTTTTGAGATGGGAAGGGCTGTTTTCTGGGTGACCTGCCCGGGTCGCACAGAACACGGTGTGGCGAAGGGGCGGCTCTGAGGGGATGGTGGAGGCCGTGTTAACTTCCTCCTTTTTCTCAACAAAGCCAAGGAATTGGCCAACCACTGGGTGGGTCCTTTCGGAGCCCCTCTGCCGTGGAATCCATCCTCAGTTCCTCTCGCCCTGCCCAGCTTACGCTGCCCGACCAACCCCCGCTTGGTCTCTCGGTTGCCTTGTGCACCGGAAAGACGCTGTCGGACTGAGTGGCCTTCGCTGTAGAGATTTGGACAGCTCCGTTGCTCGTGTCCGAACTGCAGGCTTTGGGTCTCTCTGGTGGTAGACTGGTAGACGTTTGCGTGCATGGCACGGGTCCTTGATCAAAGACCCTCTGGGTCATGGCGGAAGACCTTGAAAATCTGTACTACAAAAGTCGCAAAAACTGAACACCTTATTTTGTATTTCTAAAAATGTCATTATTCTGCCCCTTTTCACCCCTCCCCCCTCAAATCTCCTGGCTGGCGATACTTAGTTTGCCATATGATCCTAGACTCGTTAAGTGAGTAGGCTGCTAAGTGACCCAGCGTTACGCTTGCGAGGAGCTGGCAAAACTAGGATTGAAATAAAGACTTGGTCTCGCATCAGCACCGAGGAGCCCCCACACGGATTAGTGCTTTGTGGGGATAGTTCTCTCCTCATTGATCTAATCTTTTGGTTTTGAGTTTGATATTATTGCTTCGTCCTCCTAAGCTATTTTTTCTTGGTGTGCGCACGTAAATATCAGTGAAAGTGTGTGCGTCCCTGGGTGTGTGCGTGTTCATTTGCACGTGTGGGTCCGTGCCTGTATGCAGGCACATTGTGCAGATGCGTGTGTGCGCATCCGTGAGCGAGGGTATGAGTATCCACACGTATGTTCGTGTGAGCACAAGTGGGTTTGCAGGCATGTTAATCTGTTAATTCATGTTTATGCGTGAGTGCACGCATCCCTGCGCATGAGTATTTGGGGCGGCATGTGGCTGTTGCACAGGCGTGTGCACGTGACTCGTTCCAGTCAGACCGTGCCCTGGCAGCGGTAGCAGGCGAGTACTTGGAGGCGAGTAAAAAGAGCCAGAGAGGGCCACAGGAAAGAGCCGGGGAGGGGCAAAGGGCGGCGAGGGGTGGGGACTCTGGCA